TGGTTTACCCTCTCCAACTCATTTGTCTCTACTGGCACCCAAGTTCCACGGTACCGCAACCGGTACCTCGCTCGTTGCTGGACTTTCCTCTGAAACTACTTGCATTACATCCTCCCGTCTCCTGCCTAATCCCTTCAACCCTCAGTCTCAGATAAGCACCACTTCCCCTGGCGTGCCCCTCCTGGGTCCAACTCCTTTTCTCCCAGAGTTGGGCTAGGAGCCACTTGTGCTCCCACTACATTTACCACTGTCCTGGTTACCAGCCCGCGCCTCTCCTATTAAACTACTGAGCTCTGTGTCTATGGGGCTGTGTTGCCTTTCCCACTGTGTTATTTAAGTGTTCAAGAAACACTCTGAATTAACTAAAGAATCCCGGTGTCCAGAGCTGTAAGGCCCCAGCAACAAACTCTTTTAGCACCAACTCAACTTCGATCCCACCCGCCCATCTCTTGGCTGGGAAGGCTCCTCAAGACTCGCCAATGTACTCGGTTCTAGTCCAAGTACCAGGGCCTGGCAAACGCCAAACTGACTAGGAGGGATGCTAGCTCCGAAATACATTCCAAGAGCACGCTTCGAGGAATGACTGGCACACTAACGTCAGGATCCGCCCCGGAGAGACACTCAACGTGCCTCGCGCCCAACTGTGCGCACGCGCGGGGCCACGGCAAAGGGGGCGGTCCCGATGCGGAAGGCGTGCGATGAGCACAGAGGAAAAGCGCAGGCTGGCCCGGCCCCACAGGAAGGGCGGCCTGTGGGCGATGCTGGTAGTACCCGACCCATCACAAAAACTACAGCCTCCCGGCCCCAATTCCGCTTCTTCTGCTTCTGTCCTACAACGGCTCCTCACCCACAGTCCGCACGCCAGCCTCAGGAAAGGTCCCCGCTGATCGCAAAGCCAGGCAGCTGCACAGCCCTCAGGGTCCTCGCAGCCCGGCTAGAGCGCCCCACAGCTGACAGACAGACGCCGGAAGCTGGCCTGGCCACGCCGGAAGCTCGGTCTTTCCCGGCTCCACCCCGCCCCTCCGAGTAGTCCTCCGCCTGTACCCAACCACCGCGCCGAATAGTCCTCCGCTTTCACCGCCGTTGACGGAAAGCGCAGTCCTTTGCAGAATCCGCTCCCTCAAGGGCGCGGCTTCTTGGGTCAGGATGCACGAGGAAAAATAATCCCCTGCCTTTGCTCGGTAGCTGTTTGCCAATCTACAGCACCACTGTTGAACCGAGCGTTACTGAGTAGCGTTCTTTGCCTTCACTCCCTCCTCCACCATTTGTTCACTCTCGAGGCTTAAGAAGTCATACCGTACTAAACGCGCCCAATCCCCGAAGTCGCCATTTCCCCCTTAGCTACTCGAATAACACCTGGCACTTGTTTCTCCGTTAACTACTCCCTCAGGCCGCAACGTCCCTCCTTTTCCGCTTCAGCGATCCCGAAAGTTTAGTGTTCTCACCCTGCCTCCCTCCGGGTTAGAGCCACCACAGGCCGTGCCTTCCTGTTCCAGGGGAGCTCTATCTTGGTACACTCAGAACCACCTCCCTCCCCGCTCCGCTGCCACACTCGTGGGGGTCTCTACTTGTCTCCTCTTGATCCAAGTAAGTTGTGTGGACCTGAATAACAGCGCAGAAAGGTCACTCTTATGCACTGTGAAAATGACTGAACAACTTTCTGGATCAGTGTTGACAAAGTAGGATACTGACTCGGGTTACACCTTATACAAGGGTTGTACTCCTTGATAAGACCACTGCTCTGTCCTTGACTGGGGACCCATATATGCCACCCTTATATCACAACCTAGCACCCCCACTACCGAAGGCTGCAGTCAGCCCTGTTAGGAGCTGTCCCCTGGACTAGGGGCCTTCTGCTTTTCTGTCCCCGTTCTGTCCCCTGAACTAGGGGCCTTCTGCTTTTCCTCCCCACTAGATCTGAAGGTTGTTTTGTCTTACTCATTTTTGCTAACTTTTCTATGTGAGGGTATAATTGGTTGAAGGAAAAATAATTTGGTCCTAGTTTCCTCTTATGAGCCAGCTGAGTCTTTGACCAGATTAAGGCATCACCATCCAAGGTCTTTGAAAAAAAAAAAAAAAAAAAAAAAGACATCCCCAAAGGATTTTAAGTAGGTAATATAAGAAATGTATTTTTCTAACTGCTTCCTCTGCCTGCAGTATGGATAGAAGAGATGCCAGAATGGGTGAGACCAGCTAAAAGACCCACTGCAGGGCTACAAGAGAGGTACTTTAACTAGAACGTGTGGAAACAAAGCAGAGGGTAAAACAGAAACTGGTGACAGATTAGACTAGGGTTAGGGAGAAGAAGGCATCAATTGTCAGGCTCCAAGACTGGGCAATTGGGTAATGTAACTGACAGTGTTTTGTTTTTTGAGACATGGCCTCACTCTGTCATCCAGGATGGAGTGCAGTGGCACAATCATGGCTCACTGCAGCTTCCACTTCCGAGGCTCAAGGGATCCTCCTGTGTCAGCCTCCCCAGTAGCTGGGACCACAGGTGCACACCACCACAACTGGCTAATTTTGATTTTTGTTCACAGGGTGGAGTCCCACAATGTTGCCCAGGCTGGTTTCAAACCCCTGGGTTAATGCAATTCTTCTACCTCATCCTCCCAAAGTGCTGAGATTACAAGAGTGAGTACCAATACCCTGCTTCATTCACATTATGTGGAATAATGGAATAGGACTAATGGCTTTCTCCTCTCCAAATGGATCTACTTGATGAAAGGCAAGATATATAAGGAAGGAATTCAGCCCCTCCAAAGGGAGGGGCTGGATTCAGAAAAAAAGATGGGGCAAAAAACCCAAAGGAATGAAGACATAAAGTAGTATCTGAACTGGAACACAAACAGGATTCCAAAACTTACCTTGACCATTGATACCCATGGACGTTGCCCATTGTGTCCCAGGTCTTTGCACCAAATGTTTTCACAATATTTGATTTACAACGAACAATCAGGGCCAAGAGAAGTCTTCACAAAAAAAGAATTCCATTCTGATTGGTATTAAAATGTTATTTTTGTTGTTGTTTTGAGACAGAGTCTCACTGTGTAGCCCAGGCTAGAAGAGTACAGTGGCACAATCTCGGCTCACTGCAACCTCTGCCTCCTAGGTTCAAGCAATTCTCATGCCTCACCTAGGGGGAGGAAGGTGGGGGAACTCATCTAGCTTTTTATTTCAACAGCTTTAGGAGTACAAGTGGTTTCTGGTTACATGGATGAATTATATAGTGGTGTAAAGTCTGAAATTTTAGTGCACCCATCACTGGACTACTGGACATTGTACTCAATACATAGCTTCTGTATCCCTCACCCCTCCCACCCTCCCTAAAACAGGGATTTTTAAAAAGTATTTGTATTTTTACTTTTTTAACTTTTATTTTAGATTTAGGGGTACACGTACAGGTTTGTTAAATTGTTAAACTTGTGTCACGGGGCTTTGGTACAGATTATTTCATCACCCAGGTACTAAGCCCAGTACCCAATAGTTATTTTTTCTGCTCCTCTTTTCTCACCTTCCACTCTCAAATAGCTCCCAGTGTCTGTTGTTGCCCTCCTTATGTCCATGAGTTCTAATCATTCGGCTCCCACTTGTGAGAACATGCAGTATTTTTCTGTTTCTACGTTGGTTTTCTAAGGATGATGGCCTCCAGCTCCATGTTCCTACAAAAGACATGATCTAATTCTTTTTTATCACTAAAACAGGGATTTTTAAAAGGTACTTTATAGCTATGTTTTTGAAAATTTAGGGTTTTATAGAAATGCCTTGGGAAGCTTGACAGAGTGCAGTGGAGGCTGAATAGTGAGCTTTTGAGTCCCAGTCCTATTTCAACTAAAAACAAATAAATGGACCTACTCTCATCTGTTTTCGATATTGGAATGTTACTGTTCTATATCAGAATTCCTTTGAAAATCTGAGTCTGCTGTTAACAATAAAAGTTTGAAAACCACTGTACTTGATTAGGGATTGGGGTATAAATTTGGTTAATATCTACAAACTAGAGCAAAGAACCTTCGCACAGTTCAGACGCATGCAAACATAGGGCCGGAATACGTAAGGACTATAAATATCATCAGTATCTGGAGTCCAGAATAATCACAAATTGTAAATCCTGAGAACAGATAAAGGGGAGGACGTGGGCAGGCCAACAGGCACTTAGGTTGTCTACTAAAATAACACACTATGGTTACTGAATCACAACTGCTCTGGGGAAGCCAGGACTGACCTGTGAAAGCTTACAGACCCCTCTTCAGCCACATTAAAAGTGGAATTATGAAGTGGCCTTCTGATATGACATATTTTGATGTTCAGTGCTTCACTTTCCTCAGAACTACTTGGCCACAGAACACTTTGATCCTGGCCCTTCTGTGACTGTTCCCTGATAGAATATTGGGACAATATCCCAACAATGAATTAATATGAAGGTATGCTGTAATATCTTACATAAAAAATAGCATCAGATCAAAGTCACTCTTTTCTTTCCTTTTAAAAAATTTTGTACTGCTCATACCATCTGGGGAAATGGGCCTGCCCTCAAGTAACTGCTTCTTTTGAATCTTTTCAGTAGCTCAAACTCATGCATCAGTTCTTTGTATAGCTGAAATAACATGGCCTCTAAGTACCAAATTAGTCAGTCATTCACATGAGTCAAGTAATCAATTAAGAATCCCTGGTACATTCCTTGCTCTAGCTGCAAGCTCACAGTCCAAAGATCATCCATTTCTAACTCAGGCAAGGCCAAAAGGTACTTAATACCTGCTTCATAGTTTTAGAAGTAGCTTAAGTCATGAAATAAAAGTTGCTCCTGAGTCTTCTGGATGTAGGGCAGCAATTCAGTTAATTTACTGAAGAAAAAAAAAATAGATATAAATATTTACTTTCATTAAATCTATACTCGGCAACTTTATAGCAAAGAACATATAATAAAAGGTGTTATATAAAAAATGGAGATTAAGGCAGTTAACACTGACAGGTTTATACTAAGGTACAAAAACAAATGCTTGACTTAGAAATTCAACTTTATTTACAAATGTTCTCCTATAAACAAAGACACCATTGTACCCCTTTAAAATATTGTAACTGATAATTTCGACAAAAACCATTTACACAGTTTCAACCTTTCTGCATAAAACTGTATTATGAGATGAGCAACCTCACATGATGGTCTGAGACATCAAAATAAAACAAAATAAAAGACAACGTATCCAGCATGAACGTCCTATTGTCAAACTTAATGAGGAATTAAGAATCACACCCCACAATGTGCTACTCCACCAAGAAATAGAAACGTAATGATTTTTTGAGAGGTAAATGCTGCACGATAAACAGTCTTCTTATGTAGTAGTTTAATTGTGATTGCTTAGGACTGCTCTTGCAGACTAATATTTATGCTTTTTTTTTTTTTTTAAAGCATAAATAAAAAAGCACTGTAAAAAGGGCAGACTTATAGATTTTTCTGACAATGAAAATCTGTAGATAGTGGTCTGGTCTCATCATTCAGGCCAATTAATAAAATAACAAATGCATGGAAAGAATGTTAAACAAAAACATAATCATCATGTGACTAACAGAATTCTCCCTGAAATCAGAGAGTATTAATACTCAATAGTATCTATAAATTTGAATTTATAGGTGAGACAACATATAGACAAAATAACCAAGGAGTTTAAAATAAAATTATTCAAATTACCTATTTTTCATTTTATGTGCAGTAATTACTTTTAAAAAATATTTTAAATTTTATCTTGGAATAACCACTCACATCCTAGCTAAGTTGCAAGGAACTTCAAAACTTTGAAAACAAAATTCATCCCTGAGAAGTGAGAGATAGAAAAATATCTTAAAAAAAAAAAAAAAGAAGCAATGGTCTTGCACTCTTTTAACAATCTCACCACAGCATGAACTACTATTAACAGTGAGCAATCAGATATTCCAGTCCTGGAGAGTTACTGCCTCTCATGAGCTGATCTTTTGGTAATGAAACCATAACTGCAACGTTGAAAAAAAAAAAAAAAACCAGATAAATAGAAACTCTGGTTTTATTTTCAGCTTTACATTTTTGACAAGTGCAAGGTGAGCCAGTGATATAAATATTCCAATAATGACCGAAGTAATAACTTCTACTGGCATGTCTTCTTCTGAGTCTCCATTTCTTCCTCTGACATTCAACCAAATAATAAAAGTAACACAATTGCAATTGAGTTTACTATTATCAATGGCACTCTCATCACGGTTCTTACAGATCGAATAAGGTTCATTAGCTGTGATTTAATTCCCGGCTCCTCTCCGAATCCACCAATTCCCTGGTCTGTTCCCCAGCCAACTGTATAATATAAAGATTAGCTGTGTTAAAAGTTATTACACACTTGCTTTGCTCCCTTACTAGCATCTTCTAAAAGATTAGTTTGAGACCTTGTTAAAGACATAAAGTCATAACTTTTAAGGAAAGTTTAAACAACAGTGAGTTAAATATTTTAGTTTTTTAAATTTTTGATAGCAACACCCTCATTTCACTTCATTTACACTTTGATTTTATAAAATAAACTACAGTCTAAATTGTTTCATGGCATTTAATTTAGTGAAGATGATCTTTGTAACTGTTTTTTTCTCTTTTTTAAAAATACCATTCAAATACTTCTCAAGTCACAACTGAAAACCAAAGCATACTATCAAGCTATATAATTATTATAATTAGCTCAATTCAGAATTTATAAAAATTCATCAAAATCATTAGTATAAAAATGCTGTAGCTGAGAATCACTGTCTACATTACTTGGGGAAACTTTTAAAGTAAACCTGGTAAACTGGGAGTTGATCATACTACCAAAATACACAAATCTCAAATGCCATAATCCCAAATCTTGAAATTTCAACAGATCAAAACCCTGAAGTCTAAAATCCCAAAAATGACAATCAATAAACATTGAAATCTCAAACATGTAATTCTAGGAAGAATAATTTGATTCTTTTTAAAAAATCATTTATAATAATATAGAGACAGGGTCTCCCTTTACTGCCTAGGCTAGTCTTAAATGATCCTCCATCTCAGCCGCCCAAAGTGCTGAGATTACAGGTACGAGCCACCACATTTGGCCTACATATTTCTTTTATTATTATTTTAATTGAGACAGGGTTTTACTCTGTTGCCCCGCTGGAGTCACCTAGGCTGGAGTGCAGTGGTGTGATCATGGCTCACTGCNCTATAAAAAAAAAAAAAAAAATCAGAGAAAAAACTAGGAAATAGTTACTGGCCTCTAGGAAGGATTGAAATATCTGACAATATGTCATCATTATCCTGTTATAAATCATTATTACGGGGACATTCTAAAATACTTTTGATCATGAAATCCAAAACTTATTTTCAAGAAAGTTTGTATAACTGGGAATAAGGGTTGCACTGGAACAATCAGATCAATGTGAAACATCTGTAGATAGTCCTGGTACAACCCTGGGAACATGAGTGCATCAGACTCAGGCAGAAGTAGACCTGCAGGGTTGCCACTGATACTTGAGATTAGAAATACAGTGCAAAGAAAATTCTGTAATGTCAATTTACTACATTAAAAATGAACTTATTTAACATTGTATCCAAGGTTGTTAAAGGGAGAAGAGGCCCTAATTATAATCATTTTAAATAAAAGGTTTTTGAACTCTTTTTTCTTGAATTGCTCAAAAATATTTTCCAGTAGAATGACAGATATGAGATCTTTATTTCTCTCTTTTTTTTTTTTTGAGACAGAATTTTACTCTGTCTCCCAGGCTGGAGTGCAGTGGCATGGCACGATCCCAGCTCACTGCAACCTCCACCTCCTGGGTTCAAGCCATCCTCCTGCCTCAGCCTCCTGAGCAGCTGGGATTACAGGCATGTGTCACCGGCTAATTTTGTATTTTTAGTAAAGATGGGGTTTCACCATGTTGGCCAGGCTGGTCTCAAACTCCTGACCTCAGGTGATCTGCCTGCCTCAGCTTCCCAAAGTGCTGGGATTACAGGAGTGAACCACCACACCCAGCTTTCTCTTGAAAGCCTCCCAATACTGTAGATGATTTTACAAATTGGAAGCAACAGTTCCCAAAAGGCAAGAATATAATTTTGTCTTTTAGCTGTGACAGGTAACACACAAATATACAGATTATAAGCATTCTGTACCAACTGGCTTAGACAGAAATAAGAGGCAAACTAAGAAAAAAAAAAACAAAACAAAAACCCATTAACTTTCAAGCAGTAAAGCCATGTTTAAGAGAAAAAAAATAACCACTACAAATGGCATATGTGGTATTCACATTCAGAAGCTTTCCTACTTAAATAAAACCACAATATTAAAACTTAAGAGTGCTCTATTAGCTTTTCTTCTTACCTCTCATCACGGTTCTTACAGATCGAATAAGGTTCATTAGCTGTGATTTAATTCCCGGCTCCTCTCCGAATCCACCAATTCCCTGGTCTGTTCCCCAGCCAACTGTATAATATAAAGATTAGCTGTGTTAAAAGTTATTACACACTTGCTTTGCTCCCTTACTAGCATCTTCTAAAAGATTAGTTTGAGACCTTGTTAAAGACATAAAGTCATAACTTTTAAGGAAAGATTAAACAACAGTGAGTTAAATATTTTAGTTTTTTAAATTTTTGATAGCAACACCCTCATTTCACTTCATTTACACTTTGATTTTATAAAATAAACTACAGTCTAAATTGTTTCATGGCATTTAATTTAGTGAAGATGATCTTTGTAACTGTTTTTTTCTCTTTTTTAAAAATACCATTCAAATACTTCTCAAGTCACAACTGAAAACCAAAGCATACTATCAAGCTATATAATTATTATAATTAGCTCAATTCAGAATTTATAAAAATTCATCAAAATCATTAGTATAAAAATGCTGTAGCTGAGAATCACTGTCTACATTACTTGGGGAAACTTTTAAAGTAAACCTGGTAAACTGGGAGTTGATCATACTACCAAAATACACAAATCTCAAATGCCATAATCCCAAATCTTGAAATTTCAACAGATCAAAACCCTGAAGTCTAAAATCCCAAAAATGACAATCAATAAACATTGAAATCTCAAACATGTAATTCTAGGAAGAATAATTTGATTCTTTTTAAAAAATCATTTATAATAATATAGAGACAGGGTCTCCCTTTACTGCCTAGGCTAGTCTTAAATGATCCTCCATCTCAGCCGCCCAAAGTGCTGAGATTACAGGTACGAGCCACCACATTTGGCCTACATATTTCTTTTATTATTATTTTAATTGAGACAGGGTTTTACTCTGTTGCCCCGCTGGAGTCACCTAGGCTGGAGTGCAGTGGTGTGATCATGGCTCACTGCGGCCTCAACCTCCCCAGGTTCAGGTGATCCTCCCACCTCAGCCTCCCGAGTAGCTGGGACTATAGGCACACACCACCACACCTGGCTAATTTTTGGATTTTTAGTAGAGACAGGGTTTTGCCATGTTACCCAGGCTGGTCTCGAACTCCTGGGCTCAAGTGATCTACCCACCTTGGCCTCCCAAAGTGCTAGGATTACATGCATGAGTCACCGCACCCAGCCCTCATTTACATTTTTAAAAGGGGAGTTATCTTTTAAAGAATTTTCGGGGGCTGGGTACAGTGGCTCATGCCTCTAATTCCATCACTTTGGGAGGTCAAGGTGGGTGGATCACTTGAGCCCAGGAGTTTGAGACCAGCCTGGGTAACATGGTGAAACCCCATCTCTATTAAAAATACAAAAATTAGTTGGGTGTGATGGTGTGCGCCTATAGTCCTAGCTACTCGGGAAGCTGAGGTGGGAGGATCACCTGAACCCGGGGAAGGTCGAGGCTGCAGTAAGCCATGATCACATGACTGCACTCCAGCCTGGTGACAGAGTGAGACCCTGTCTCAATTTAAAAACTTTTAAAAAGAGGCAAATGTGTTATTTGAGAAACATAAAAACACAATAGAACACTTCAAAGGCCACTTTACACAATAAAATGGGCAATGACAGCACATATATTTTTGCGGCACTAAGGTATACTAATGGCAGTCCCACAGATACAACAGCCACGAGCAGGTGAACCATATTCACAAAGAAATAGGCCAAAAAGGAAAATGTATAAACACATTAACACTATGGTTGCTAAGTGTGTTAACCTAGCTTTATAACTGTGGTCCTCTGAAACACCGTGACAAACAACCTAAGTCTTCTGACAGGATCAATGAAAAATACAATGGGTCACCAGTACATATGCAATTGCCCAAACAGCTGAGATCACAAGAAATTTTCTTTTTCACAATTGCATACAAATATACAGAAATAACCTTTCTTCATTTACTGAGCATGTTTTCACATACATGCACAATGCGGATACACAAAGTCAACACTGTGGTAATGTCCTTTTGCAGCCAAGTTTGCAAAGAATGCATAAAACAAATCACAACTCTCTCAAAGTCTCTACACAGTTTATACCTCCAGTATTGCAAATGATGTAAAGATGAAATACATAGCATTGGGAATTGTAAAAACCAATGCTGACAATTTAAAATAGTAAAAACAATTGAAAAAGAAAAAAAGCTGAAAAAATGTGACATATGACAATATATTATTACAGGGATAGATTATGGGCAATTGCCTGGAAATATTCCTTAAGAGCTAGTTGGCTTTCTCCATCATTAACTATATTTTGATGTCTTGTGTCACAATGAATAGCTGCTTTTTTTTTCTTTTAGGACCTGGTTTTCCTCAGACATACTGCTCACATTCATTTTCTAGGTGGCACTGCTCTTTTTGAAATTATTCTATGGTTTGATATGTATCAACATGAGCTTTCCCTATTAAAAGTTCCCATCCTCTGTGCCATGCTTCTATGTTGTTTTAGGCACCCAGAAATCCGCTAGTGATCAAGTAGCAACACTGTTGCACCAGTGTCTTCTTACCCTACTATGCACACAATTTTTTCTTTTTCTTTTTTTTTTTTTGTGGAGCCTCGCTCTTTCACGCAGGCTGGAGTGCAATGGCATGATCTCAGCTCACTGGAACCTCCGCCCCCTGGGTTCAAGCAGTTCTCTGCCTCATCCTCCTAGGTAGCTGGGATTACAGGTGCTCACCACCACGCCCAGCTAATTTTTGCATTTTTAGTAGAGATGCAGTTTTACCATGTTGGCCAGGCTGGTCTTGAACTCCTGATCTTGTGATCCCCCCGCCTCGGCCTCTCAAAGTGCTGGGATTACAGGCGTGAGCCACTGTGCCCGGCCAAGTAGCTGGGCCTACAGGCACACACATAATTATTTTTGAACCAGTCAGTAACTTCACTGCCTTCTTCTGGCAAATGTGGCTTTAATTCATTCAAAGTTCCAGGAATACCATCAGCTGGAAGGAATGCTAATGCAGGTGACACATTTTTAAGCCTAACTTTTTAGCACCGCAACATCTAGTAGTCAATCCACTCACCTGAATTTTCCACCCAATGCAAATAAAGACAAGAACAAGGTAATAGTTCTGCCTAACATGATGCACCTACCATGATATAACTATCCTGCTTATACCCAAAACACACTAATCCCTTCCCCAAAATTGACAAGAGTTGAAAATCTTCTTTCAAGATTTGGGATTTTAATCTTTTGAGATTCGAGACATTAGGAATCATGGCATCCAGGATTGTGTCTTTTGGGATTATGATCCAAACCTGTAACAGCTTGGTTGGGCTTCCAAAGCATGCTCTAGTCTGCCAGCAGAACATATCTTTTTTCTCTTTTTCCTTAATAATTTGTCTTAATTTATTAATTTTGACTCGAGGAATTTTAGCCTACTACCCCTCTTATCCTCTATAAATGACTCTTTTACATTCTTTTGCCATTTTTCTGTGACACTACAAATCATTATTTCTTTACCCTTATGCACTAATACTCCTTCTATTGTGTGACACATTCTTCTGAAGAGTTTCATGTCCTCATTTCTGCAATTTGTCCTTCTCTTGTCCTCATTTTCAGGTCCACTTTTTCCTATCTCGTATGACTACAGGGCTTAATTAATTCCTGACACGCTAACCCTTAAACCTGAAGAGAACAGTTTTTTTAAAATATATATACCTGAAAGACTCAAATATCGGGAAATAAGATTTCACTTTCAATCAACTTTTATTTGGTTGAAATAAAATGCTAAATAAAGGTTGTTTGCTTTGTTGTCACTGAGATATGCTGTGGTATAATAAAACTAATTTAAAATTCAAGTTTACAACAGGGCTGTTGTTGACTCCTACTCACTCTTCACAGAACCTAGCTCAGGCTCTGCTTATAGCCCTTCCAGTCCACAGGGGTTTCGTTCTTTTTTGGACTCCCATAGTATAACTACCATCACAGTTGTCACTATCACAGCCTTCACTATCTCTTGCAAGACTCTTTCAACAGATATTCCTGTGATCTTGATGTCTCAACCCCGTAAGTTTTCTCCCTTAAAGGTTAGATCTTGCTACCTCGATTTCCATTGCCTACTGAATAAAGATCAAACTCCTTAAATTGACATTCTAGTTCTATATCCTACCACAACCCTCCAAGTATTCCTATTCGAAGTCAGTTACTCCAGCGGTCCCCAACCTTTGTGGCACCAGGGACCAGTTTCATGGAAGACAGTTTTTCCACAGACAGGGGTTGGGGGTGGTGGCGGTTTGAGGATGATTCAAGTGCATTACATTTATTGTGTACTTTATTTCTATTATTACACTGTAATATATAATGAAATAATCATACAGCTCACCATAACGTAGAATCAGTGAGAGCCCTGAGTTTGTTTTCGGGCAACTAGACAGTCCCATCTGGGAGTGATGGGAGACAGTGATAGATCAGGCATTAGATTCTTATAAGGAGTACGCAACGTAGATCCCTCACATGCACAGTTCACAACAGGATTCATGTTCCTATGAGAATCTAATGCCACTGCTTACCTAACAGGAGGCAGAGCTCAAACACTAATGTAAGCCATGGGGAGGGACTGTAAATACAGATGAGCTCACTCGCCTGCCACTTATCTCCTGCTGGGTGGTCCAGGTCCTAATATGTCCATGGCCTGGGGGTTGGGGACCCCTGAATTACTCTCTAATTGCTGTACATGTTGCTGTACAACAGGGTTTCACTCGTTGTCCAGGCTGGAGTGCAGTGGCACAATCTCAGCTCACTGCAACCTCCACCTCCCAGGCTCAAGTGCTCTTTCTGCCTCAGCCTCCCAAATAGTTGGGATTATAGGCACATGCAAACACATCCAGCTAATTTTTGTACTTTAGTTATAGACACGGGGCTTTATCATCTCACTCAAGCTGGTCTTGAACTCCTGGACTCAAGCGATCCACCTACCTGGGCCTCCCAAAGCGCTGGGATTACAGGCATGAGTCACCGCACTTGGTTGGCTGTACATGATAAAGGCAGCTTCTGATCTAGGTCTGACTTCAATGTCAGGGCCTTTCCTAATTTCCACTTACATGT